CGTAGTGACGGGGTGGGGTGGGGGGGGGGGGTTCGGGGGAGCAAAATCAGCAACAAGTTTACCCAGAATTTAGCTGTTTCCATAAAACCAGATAACATGACAATATAGTGAGATACAGTACCATGCTAGGCAGGTTTCCTATGAAAGGTTAGAAATTAGAAAGTAAGAGTTTATAGGGCGGGTAGAAGTTATATTTTGCACCCCGGGCGCCAGGCACCCTCACTACACCACTGGTAACATCGCGTCTTCCGAGGGGATTAACATTCATTATGTACAGCTTTAAGTGGCCATTACTGCTTTGTCTTGTTAACTACTATTTTTGTTACCTTTAACGTGATGTAACTTTAAACTAACCCTAAAATAATGTTTTTAATGTTAATCTGCTGCCATCTTAATCTTTGTATACTCCTGGGGACGGATACTTTTGTTTGTTACAATTATATCACACGTCCTACACAAACCAATATGTCTGTTCTCTCCCAGTTACAGAATCCGTGCATGAAGGAATCATGACGAAATCACAAAGAACTATTTAGCAGCCAAAGCACTACATCAGTGCAAACTACCAGTAGGAAATGCTAGGGATGACACATCATCGTTATTCACTGGACGTAACCACATCAATGTTCGTGTTATCAGGTAGCTCAGTTGGACTTTGAGCTAATCAGTCTCACCAACTGAAAAGTCTGAAAGAACAAGCTCAGTCAGAATGTTGAGTAAGCTTTTTGGCTCTAAGTTTGTTCATCCGCAGTTGTCTTATGCTCTAAGATTGGATAATCAAATTAGAATGTGTTTTATCTTACATGTGATGTCTTTGTGGTTTCTATCAAAACATCTTTATTCGTGAAGACAAAAAAAACAACAGCATATTATTCACGGAATTACAAATCAGTTAATAAATTAAAATATGAAAATTGTTTCATTTTCCAAAAATGAGGGGGACGTCGATACACTTTGTGGTACTGGTATCCGTTTTTTACGTGTTTTAAACCTTTTCTTTAGATCCAGTTCAAGATAATACATTATCTTTTTTACCCTTTCAACCCCTAACGACACTGGACGATTGCTTTTAATGATGACTTTTATGATATGTTGTTTTACTTCATTAATTCTACTGAACACGCGCACAGAAAATTGTTTTTTTTAACTGTGGTCGTAAAACCAACTTTTATTTTGCATTAATATTTAGTATGAAATAGGAACGACTGCGCTATTTACAATCTAACTAGCTTCGTTGTGTCTGTTAACTGTGATCAGAGAGAGAATATTTAATTTTCTCATTAATAAAACTTTTATTGAAGCTCTGTTTCTATTAATGCAAAGTAAAACTAGATATTCCTTTTACACACACGTGTAAATCAGGCTAAAAATAGCTGACTGTAGTATTCACGATTTAACTAATTATTTACGCTACTTTGTCATTTTTAGTAACTTCTTTTAACCAATATTTCTCTTATTTTATGATGAAAAATTAACCAAATTAGTTTTATTACCAGTAAAACAGAAAATGAACGAAACTTGTAATAAAAAAAATTATTTTGAATAAAATATAATATCTTCAGGACTTTTTCTGGATTACTTGTTGATTCTCCGGGATTCTTATGCACAGCACTAAGGTTTGAAAAACTCCGTTGTTCGTTGTGCTGTTAACTTCCCAGTCAAATAAACCACTGCCGTAAAAAGTCCAAATCGGAGAGCTGTGCAACTTCGTGCTTTAAATAAGTTGAGGAAGTCTGTGTCTGGTGCTTATGTATTTAAATCTGGCTCCTCCTAAATATTTGTATAGTTTCGCCCCTAGTCATTAAGCCATTACGATTCATGATTTACAATGTATCTATAGACATAATTTGGTCCAACTACTCGTGTAGAGGTTTACTTAAAAGGGAACAAACTTGTTTTTCTTTTTCTTTTTACATGCAACATCAGAACGGAAAATTATATGAATATTGTCAATACAAATAACAGCCGTTAATTGTTATTTGTTTAATTTTCCACAAAGCTACTCGAAGGCTATATGCGCTAGCTGTCCCTAATTTTGAAGTGATAGCCTAGACTAGCGGTTTTCAAACTTAATAGTACTGCGATCCCCTTCCAACACCAACCATTACTACATAGCACCAGTCTTGTGTCATTACAGAATCGTCAGTATTGATAAACTAAACATGCATTACAAGGCTGTATCAACAAAACTAATATTTAAGTAATCAAGCGATGTCCATTTTAAAGTTGCACAAGTGTTCGCGACCCCCTTGAAAGACGCGACCAAACTTCGGAGTCGCGACCCACAGTTTGAGAAACGCTGGACTAGATGCTGCTGTCAACATTACTCAGTGTCAACTCATTGGTTTCTGTAATCGAATAGTGGAAGTTGACCATCACTACAACGCACCCACGACCCTAAAGTGCGTGGCGAGATTTCTTTTCGAGGGTAACGAGTCGCGAACCACGAATCCACAGTCCGGCACACTAATCACTGGGCTGCATTCGGTCCACCGTTATTTGAATGACGGGGTGGCAAGCCAGAAACCTTACAACCCTTATTAGTAACTGTTCACGAAGAGATACCACCTTCATCATACGGAAACAGTCGTATATCAACTGTTATTATTATTATACTAAATTAACTGAAGCATCTAACCCCAAAAATGTAGGAGAAACATCCGCAGCAACAAATAACACCCAATATTACGTAATCCTTTCACAACCTATATTATTCATTACCTGAAAAATCTACTGCGTGTGCTTATTATACACACAAGTAAATTCAGGATATCCTTTTACTTCATTCTTTCAGTCCTGGGTTGTTGTAATAATATGTTAGGTCCGAGACAGTTGTAATTTTTAGTTTCATGATATATATCGTTCAACCACTACATTCTCACAAACAAGGCCCATCCTCTGGCTTGGCTCCAGGGTCGTAGGACAGCCTTAGATTGTGGACCAATGTGGATTTATTTATTTATTTTTCAAAATATATTCCTTCGCCTCGAATTTGAACCGAGACCTTTAGCACAACTGAGCTACAAGATTCTTCTTATCGCTTGCTAATAAGGCATTTCTAACTATTTTACTACAAGACAATGCAGACAGAAATTTATGGTAAATTTAAGCACTTCTTTCACACGTTTAAATTTAAAAATATTAATGGATCCTTTTTTTCATGTTTCACTGCAATTTTTATTATACGCTTATACAGAATACTTTTACAACTAAATATACTAACTTTATAATTGTGAAATTATATTTGTCAGTTACATTTCTTTATATATTAATCATGCTTTAGCGCCCTCTCATTCAAAATGTGGTTGCAATAACATTTTTCTCACTCTTTCTCTATATTATTCGTATTTGTGAAAGTTAATCTCTAGAACGTTTAGTTTTGTATTTTAGGAACTTTAAATCCTACCGACTAATTCGTAAAAAGAAAACGCATATTTATTGATCAGAAAACCTATCAGCTAGAAAAGCAAAGACGAAAACATTAACGCACATTTAGAAACAAGAAATAATAAATATACGCGTACATTTTGAAACTAGTCTTAGTGAGCAATGAACAGCAGAAAAATAATTTTGGTTTACTGGATTTACTAGGTATTCCAATAAATTAGAAATCAACTGGTTGGAACAACTCATTAAAATTTGTTTCACACGAAAAAATAAGTCTGAATTTAGTAAACAGCTCTCTCAAACCAATGAATCGGAGGATAGGACTAATAGAAAAAATAGGTTTCATTTTTAATATTGTTATTGTGTTTTATGAACAACTACCTGGAGTACCTTTCCATTGTGCGGTTGAAATACAAACTCGTTTGTAACAAAGGATAGGAAATTGTGCTTTTATTTTTTCCCTATCATAATAAGCATTAAAAGTGCAATAAAAATACCTAAAGGTACCATTACTGAAAAGATACTGTTTTCAAAAATTCTATCAATATGAAATTAAATGGGGGTCCAACCCCACCCCCTCACACATGGACACATATGTTGATATATATTTATATGGAAGATGGGGGTTCAACCTCCACCCCCTTCATGACCTTCCTCAAATCCTATATTTGTGTCAGGTTTGGTGCTGATTTATCAAGAAATGTGGAAACGTACAGGGAACTACTGATGGCTGAAAGGTGCGAACAGACACAAACTTAGCTTTATATATTAGATTGACAGAATTCCAAGTCAAACAAATTGTATTGAAGTACTGCTGCTTAACAGATAATGGTTTGAATCTTTTACAATAGTTCCTCTTAACAAGTATGAACACAAAAACCAACAATCATTTTTAACCGAAGATCACTAACCTCCGTTTCTTTTAGATACAAAGACTTGAAAGTAGCCCTTAAAGCTAGGCAAATATCTAACAATCTGTAGTATGAAAGTGATTTGTTATGAACCTGACATTCACAATAAACGAACATTTTTCTTTAAACAAGAAATAAAAATCAAAGTAGAGGCGTTTCGATTACTCGAAGAACAGGTTATGTTTCGATTCGAGGCCGTAACCGGTTCAAAATTTTCCTAACCTCTACCCGAAGCCATTGTTTCTTGTTTTAATTTATACTGTCTCGCGTCGACTAATGTTGAAGTTTGCTCACATGAGACATGTAGTGGATACGATAGCTTAAAACTTTATATACTTCGCAGCACGCAAGAAAACACAAACGGAGCATTCGCGAAGATTAATTTCCAAGGCGGTAATTTTATATGTCAGTACATCTGAATTATTTTATAGATTTTGTTTTGAAATAGGACTGATTTAATAATCTAGTCACTTTTTAAGGAACAAGTGAATAGTCAAAACTCAAAGCGAGTTTATCCAGTGTTATGTTCTGCGTTAGCTCCACAACGCGACGTCGACAGTTCTTAAACTTCGTGAACACGATGACAAAATTTCATTGGTTACAAAAACGGCTCAATAACAACGAGTAACCGATTAGAAAAAAAAATACAAACCATAACACCCCCTAAACCATTTCAACAAATTAAAAAAAACACTATCTTACTTGTTTTGTTGTTCTAGTCTTGCTAAAAGCAGCAAATCCTTTTTGCTACAGTTCTGAGGCACATCTCCGTTCATTCCGTTGTTCTTCAGACTGGATGGTGAACTTGAGTTAAGAAAGGGGTCCGTTTCCATACTTCCAACGTGTTGTGGTTCGTTCATACTACGAGTTCGACGTCTCCGGTGGCCATAACCATCCGAATTAGTGCTATTGTCCTCAGTGTTCCTACAAGCGTAAAAACCAAAACAAACATAAAAAAAAAAAACGATTAACCAATTAAAGTACTATTTCCGGTTATTAAGTATAAAATTATAAACCTTGTTACATGCACTTAGACAACTTGACCCGAGTTATAAGTTGTGGTTCAGAAATGTGCAGATAAAACCTTCACAGACAGACACTACAAAAAATGTTGTAAATAAATATACTAATTCTTGTAATAAGTACAAAAATAACAAAAGGAAAATATTAGCAGTACATTTTCATTTGTACAATTAAATTTACGTTTACGTTTCTTCAAATAATTTTAACGGCCTAAAAATTCCAAACATTTGAATGTGCCGGTCTGAATTATTCATCACTTGGATATCTTATGTATTTTGAATACTCACACAAAAAAATTGGATAAAATACACAGACGTGGCCCCCAGAAGGAGATAAATAATAAATAAGCAAACAACTATGAAAACATAAAATACAATAGTCTACACATCAAATCAATAAGAATAATACAAATTAAAATAGTACAGGAGGAAGGAAAAGGTCGGTTGAACTTGACCCTCCCATGTCTACAAGACCCAAATTCCGATGGACAACGAGTCAACATCAACCATCGCTAATTGTGGGGTTACTCTTGTTTCCCCGAAAGGGGACCGAAGGCTGCCTAGTGGGGTCACCTGTTTTAACCACTAGCACCACTTTATAGTAGAGTGTGGTCTGTCAACCAGTCAGTCAGTAGACACTAAAATGACGCCAAATTAACGTATCAAATTGTACTGTCGTGAAGTCAGTAAAACGTGCGCCTGTCATAAACAACGAGAAGAATTATGCACTACGTAGGCTACAACACAGCATCACAAATGAACTTCAAAAGCAAGAAATAAATAATATTTGTTACTCTTAATTTTGGTTTTATTTACTCATGAAACAGAACACTTTCGGGGACCATGCAGAAGTAACATTAGTATTTAACCACTTTTATAGCACACCTACGGCCACAAGTGCGGAGCGAGTTTTTGTGGTAAAGTGCCGCGAACCATAAACTCTTGAATTCACAGCTAATCACTAGGTCACGCCAGGCTCTTCTCGACCTTCACTTCATACCAAAGATTGTTATACGAGTGAATACGTTAAGCGTCTAGTTACTAGTTATTTCGTAATGTTTATTGTTCCTTTCAGAGACGTTTAAGCTTCCTCGGTCCTTTAAATCTTGTTCTCAATAAAACACTGGCTACCTAAATCAATCTTTGTTTATACTTGAGCAAGCTTTAACGTTTCTCACGCTGAAAGTTTAACGAGTAGATAGATTTTAAGATTATCGTTTGATATTTACGTACAACAAAGAAGTATCAGCAGCGCCGTTAGCGATGTTTTACGTTTCGTTTCTTTCTTAAGTCTAGAACTACAGATGGAATTGGACCCTATCAGCTATTTAAATTATTTTCTTTTAAAAAACTACATATGCAAAAATTGTTTACGGGTCCATGAATGTTGGTTACAGGGTCCTTAAAAGCATAACAGACAAACAAACAAACAAAAAAGAATTACCACCAATATGGCAATTAAACCCAATAATTTTCGCTGGTGCCCCCTATGCATAATACACAGAAAATGAATATATAGATATAAAGTTACTTAGTATGATGCAGTATAAGGGTTCGGGTTTAAACGCTGAAAGCTGGTGAACTATAGAAAACCAAAAGGCCTAAAAACTGTTATAAAAATTAAGTTAACTATAGGTAACTTTATTTTCATTACAATTTTACACTAAGTATATTGGCTATGTATTATAACTTGTAGCTGACAACAAAAGGAAACAAAAT